TGAAATATAACCCACTGAAAGTAGAAAAAATATGCTTGACATTCAGTTTGGGCACTGTTTAAGCCATGGCCATACTGGATGAGAATTATTACAGGAATTGAAATCCACTGTGTCTGGGGGCATCAAATTAGGGAAGGGATCATGCACAAGAACAAGACAATCAGCATGTGTTTTGACTTTGGCAGTTAAGCATAATAATAAATCACTGCTTAAAACTGGCCTTGTATTATGGTGTAATGTGGTGTTTCCTAACCCAGGATTGGCTGGAGTAATAAGAGAGTTGTAATCCAACACATCTGGAGAACACCACTTAGATAAGTTTGATTTAAGGTCATTTGCCCTAACAGCCTAAGAAACTATCAAAGCCACAGAAGAACAAGAACATTAGGAATTATAGGTGTTTTCCTAATACTTCAGATGGATATGCCATAGCTTTAGAGGAATATTGATAGTTCTGTTGATCATTGGGATGGGATATATTCTCTGTCACAACACCCGGTTGAAAAAAAAATGTAAGGGAGGAAAAGAAGGGGGGGGGAACCCAGCCTCCCTTAACAGTCAGCCAAATGCTGGGAAATTCTAGGTATATCTTGATATGGAAACAGCATAGAGGATGGTACATGGGCCAGGAAGTACAGGATGGTGACTGACCATTTTTTCCATGATACAGCCAACGCTGAAACAATAACTGTAATGTTTGTTGCCATGCAGGCGTCTTGGGTGTGTGTGTGTGTGAAAAAATCAAGATGGCATCTTCAGTTGTGGGGTCCCTGTGGCAAACTTGAGTTTCTTGACCACCCCCACCCCCCACCTTCAGATGCCCCTTGGTGGAGGCAAGGCGGGGAAATGTGTCTGCAAGTACAAGCAGAGTTCTTTTCCTCCACAGGGCAATGTAGAGGTAAACATTAACACCCAAAGCTGTGTGGCTGCTTCAGTTCAAGCCCTGCCAGATTCCACCAAAACTCTTAAGCAAAGAGATTCCTCCAGCAACCCTGGATCTTAATTTGCTAATGTCAAAAAAGATGCAGCAAATGGAATGTAGGATCTTATGTCTGTGATATTTTTAGAATGACATTGTTTACTGTGAAACTTCTCCTCTACAAAGCCTTTTCTCTTCTACAAGCACACACGTAAAAGTAAAACCCTGTGACTGGACTCCACAGTTGTGGTATGTTACGTACATTTGGAGTCAACATCTTCTGCATACACCTATAATTAAGGTGCTTAGAACACAGTTTTGTAAAAACCAAGAGCTGTAACACAATAGTACTTAACTGCTCTGATTGACAGCCTCAGAAGATTGGGTGGAATGCTAGTAAGTAGTAATTTTATCTACTCTGCACTGGCAAAGAAGAAGAAAAGAAACTTGGGACTTGTTGGCTTAGCTGACTGGCCATTAATGAAACTGAAATAAATATGTAATGACTTGGCTTATAGCTTGAAAATAAATGTAAAGAAATATTAGCTCTCACAAACTTATCTAACTACTACTGCCTTGCATGTTGTTCAGAAATGATGTTCTCTTAGCCAGGTGTTCATTTGAGCCACATGGTCATCCCCAAAAACAGTGTGCCAAAACAACAAAGACTACAAGATTATTTTGACAACTGATTGTTGTGACTTAAAAGGAATGAATGCTAAAAAACGCTACCATTTGTCCTCTCAAACTGCATCAAACTTTTCTAATGTTTATCCAATAAAGATGCTTGAAATGCCTTGTGCCAATAGGGAATTTCATTGAAAAAGTTGTTTCTAATAATCAGTCATGATTTTTTAACCAACAGACATAATTTAAGCAAGGCTCAGCCCAAGAACCTGTTTTTATTGTAAGTGACTTTCACCCATATGACATATGACCTAATATGAAAGTACTTCTAAGCATGTACGGAGGGTCTTCTTCTCCTCACCGGTGAATTTTAGCCCGCTCCCATGCATGAAAAAAGTCAGAATTTGAGGTTCTCTGTCAGAGGGCTTCCAAGCTGTCATGGGTTGTAGCATCTCTAAAAGTTAGCCATCGCCTTTAGTTGCTCCTGATACCTCTGAAGAACAGCAACTCATAGAGTCATAGGATTGGAAAGAGGCTTGGAGGTCTTTGTCCAACCACCTGCCCAGGGTAGGAACCCTCATACCATCCCAGACAAGTGGTTGCCCAAACTTTGCTTGAAACCCTTCAGCAATGTTGCACCCTTTACTCTAGGAGGCAAGCTGTTCCCCTGCTGAATAGCTCTAATGATCCGAAAATTCCTCATTTTGAGTTTGGGTCCCCTCCATATAGCCTTTGGTTCTTGTCCTAGTTCCTCAACAGGTGTGTCATTGCAACCACTCCAACTCCTTATAATACATGTGGCTTATCGCTGCTTATTCTATGGTTTAGAGTGGGTGTAAGAAGATCATGCCAACCCAATGGCAGCTGTGATTTCCTGCATTCATAACCATATGAATCTTTTCGCCAGCCATGCTATTTCTCTCTACATTTTCCTTTTTTTGAATACCCTCCTACTTTACAACCACCATGATCTCAACTCATATGCTGGATTGGGGTCCTCCTGTCTTCTGCAACCCTGAAGGCCATTTCTTTTCATACTGGCAGAGGAGGCAACTGATAAAGAGCCTTCCCTAGTCCGTGATCTTCCAGGTACATTGCACTGCAACTTCCATCTTCCTTAGTCAACATCCTGACTAAAGCAGGACCAGGCCAAGGTTTTCAAACACAGCCCTCGAATGGCTGCAGAGAGCATGGCCAGTGAGACAGTGACTTTACTGGGGTAAATGTAGCTGAAATTTTGCCAGCTTTGGGGAGGAGACTTAGAGTTTTTTGTAACCCCCCCTCCTCCAAAATATGGAAATGTAACCTCTTCTTCTCTTAAAACAGCATTTGTGGGAAAATGTGTCAAAACATTGTAACAGTGTGATCAAAGCCTCGGCCTCTTGTGTGTGCTTGCAATGTTGACACCTGTACAGAAGGGACAAGGCTTTGATCACACTGCTGCAACTGCCATCTGGACTTTCTTTGACCCTCTGCAGATGCCACTGTTTAAAAGACTACTGCCCCTCAGAAAGGTCATGGTAGAGAAAGGTTGTTATTGTGTTTTCTCGTTTATTTTGGCTAGAAAGAATGTCCAAGAAAGATCTCAGAGTTCAGGAAAAGGAGCCGCACCTTGAAGAATCCACTGTAAATTAATTGCATATAGTGGTAGATGTATGTGCTCTGCTTTGCTTTTTGCATGGTGATTTGCCACAAAGATGAGGCCACTTTCTTCCCACTTCTGTGGATGATGATGGTGATGATTATGATTGAGAGAGAGAGAGGGAGGCATAGGATGGTCGGAGAAAACGAACTTATAATTCTGAGTTGCGGCACATTTTCAAGCGAATTGTAAAGCAAATGATACAAGGTACAATTTAAAATAATGGTCACATGGTAACCAAAATGTAATTTCCAGCTAAGGCAGCAGCAGGATTCTGTCCACCTCATTATTTTCTTGCTCAAAGAAAAAGTCTGTGATTACCGTAAATAAGAATTCTGATGGCGGGAGTTTAATGGAAAAGGAGTTCATAAATTGTAAGATTTACTACCAGAATGAATGGTGAGTCTTAGATTGGCAAGTCTTGGCTAAATAACAAGCTACTTTCAGCTTCGTCCAACCAGCCTTCCCCTTAGCTGCAGAAACAGCAGAATACATGAAAGGTAATATTTTTTACTATTAGTGAAGAAAGGGGAAAATGTGATCTTTGCTGTAGCCTTGAGACTAATTTTCCAAAGCTACATCGAAAAAGCCTAAGTGAGTCTTGCTTTTCTTGGCAGTAGTCTGCCTAGTTAGCTCACATTAATAATTTTAATGTTATATTTGCGGATCAGGTTGTAGCAGTTGGTGAAAGCCTATGGCTGGGGTGGGGGGAGGTGTCAGACAAAATCTACTGAATATCTTCAGAGTCCACAAGTTTCATTAAAAATGCACTGCAGTTTTGAAAAGCCCTAAAACTATGTGGAGCTAATTAAAAACAGTTTTATTTTACATTTTCAAACATTGCTCAACAACATTTTATGAGGTTTTAAATTAGATTTTTATGACCTGATGTATTACAGTGATAGATTGTCCCGTGTTTTTGGAGAATTCTAAATTATATCAGACCATCATGTCTGATTAAGCAGGGAAAAAATAGCAATTTTACTAGTGAAGCATGTATTTGGAGCATTTCTTTTTTTTCTCTCTCTCTTTCTTTGTCACAAGAGGTTGCCCAGGAACAATATGTGTAGCTTATTTTTATGGTCAGCAGATAAAGTTATCTCTCTCCCCAAAACCTTGGAGTACCATTAAACTAATGCTTCATTTGGCATGCGGGAGCAAAAACGCTTATCAAAAATACTGCAAATGCAGCATTTTAATCTCGACATTGGCAGAAGTTTGATACAGAAACTGTAGACAAGAGGCAGTCAATCTGAAAAACTGAATAACTCTTCTGTAGATTTACAGAATAATGTAAGCTGTAGAACTTCCTATTAAGAACATCTGGCCAATAAAAAAAGTTGTCCATGAAAGCTGTGGAATAACAGCTTTCTGCAGCCAGAAGTGGATAGTCAAGTGTTTTTTGACCACTGGTCCTGCCATTCCAAAACAAGAGACCAGCTCAACTTCCTTCTATTTAGGAAGGCTGTGCTGTCTCCAGTGCAGAAAGATTTTATGTCATAGCTGTCTTTAAAAAAGAGAAGTCTCCGTTTACTTAAAGGACCATGCAAGCTATAAAACCTAAAGCTTTTTTTCCCCAGAAAACACTGTTACCATACTGAATCCCAAGTGAATGCATCCCAAGTGAATGCAATGGTATAATCAAATCCTATCCATGTTGAATCAGAGGTCAGTCCAACTGGTTTCAATAGACTTATCCAAGTAAGCTCTCTTCTCACTGGGCTTCAGCTACTCACACATGACCACAGAAGATGTTGAGGAGAAATAGAAATTTCTGGCAGCCATCTCTCATTATTCTAACTTGATTTTTAGGGTGGCTTCAAAAAGTCACAGAATGACTATGGGAAGACCAAACACAGATGAACTGAGATGCAAACAAAAACTGTAAGTAGCAACGCTTCATCTGGGAAAGTTAGATAGACATTGGCTTAACACATCATGCCAAACCACAGTTTGTTCAACCATGGTTCATTGCATAAATCACAACTTTCAGATTGACACCTCATGCTAAGCCAAAACCAAATCAGCTGCATTATGGTTTAGTATGATTTGGGAATACAGCCAGCATAAAAATAAGATGGTTCCAGAAATAATAGAAAAGAAGTAAAAAAAAGTAACCACTAATTAATTGATTGATTATGTGCCATCATGTTGTTGTCTGCTCTAAGCAGACCACATAGAGATTTTTCTCCAGAATGATCTGTCCCCAGCCTCGTCCTTCAAGTTTTCCAACTATACCTATTGGCATTGTAATTGAGTCCATTCACCTTGCTGCTGTTTATCCTCTTTTTCTCTTTCCTTTCACTTTTCCCAGCATTATAGACTTCTCTAGAGAGCTAGATCTTTGCATAATGTGTCCAAAGTAGGATAATTTGAGCCTGGTCATTTGTGCCTTAAGTGACAACTCTGAGTTGATATTTTTAATGATCCATTTTCTTGGTTCTCCGTGGTATTCTCAGGAGACTTCTCCAACACTAAAGTTCAAAAGTGCTAATACTCTTCTGATCCTGCTTCTTCAAAGTCCAACTTTTGCTTCCATAGAGTATCACAGGGAAAACCATAGCCTGCATGATTCTTATCTTTGCAGGTATAGGCATGTCTGGGCATCTGACAATCTTTTCCAAAGCCGCCTTGACTGATGATTCCTTTACTGCTGATAGCTGATCCTAAAAGGCAGAAGCCATCCACCACTTCAATATCTTCACTGTCAATTCTAAGGCTGGTTATCATCCCTGCTGTCATAAAGAAGAAGTTTGGTATTCTTTATATTTAATCTTAGTACCATTTTTCCCTTGTGTTCAAGGAAAATTGAAGTGTTCAGAAGCAAACTGAAAAGGCTTCCAATAATAGTGAAAACTCAACAATGATGGTGCCAGAAGAACATATTTTGGTGGTGATAAGTACAATTGGGAAAGAACTACAGAATACTCCATATCTTGAGTAGACACCCAGCCAACTTCTGGCTTTCAGAAGAGGGCATATATAAGTGAATGTCACAGCTGACTGGCAGATTCATAACAGAAAAAGTCATCCATAAGATACCTTTTTCTCAGATCATATAGGGCAGGTATCCCCATCTTGGCGTGTTCTGGTCATCTTTATGCTGTCAGAATATCCAATGGACTTTGGTATAATTGGAGGAAGGTAGGGAGAAGAATTCATAGGAAGTTACTGTGTGTGTGTGTGTGTGTGTGTTAAAGTACAGGTGAATATTACTCACTAAGGCCGGCCCAGGTTAACAATTTAGCTGTGATATATGAGACAATCTGATGTTTCTGAAGTCTATTCAAAAAGAGATCCATGTATAATGCATTACAATAGCCATGGCTTATTATGATGAGCTAATGTTTCTCTAAACATATGTGTAACAAGAAGGCTTCATTATACCTTCAGGATTGCTATTATTGAGGTGGGTCACTAGATTCAACATGTATAAAAATGGAAAAATGTTCTTTCCATATTAACACCACAGTTACTATAGCCTGTAGGAGGAAAAAGCAAGATGTTGAAACACAATTAATTTTTTTTTAGAAAAGCAGCACCTGCTGTGAATTCCTGCCTCTTACCCATGGCTGTAAATTTAGATGGATGAGAAGCCTCAGGTAAAAAATACTTGGCAGGATACAACAACCTCTCCCGATAGTAAAATAGGCAGCCCGATCAGGTTATCACAGTAAGATTAAAAATAACCTTTGGCCATGACTTTGGAGATGAAAAGAAAACATTGGAAGACAGCCAGAGGGATCACATGGGGCCTTAAGTGAAATAATTCGAGAAACCACCAATACAGAGCAAATCAACTGGGGAAAATATATATTTAGTTTTATCGTGTCCATGCGCGCGTGCACACAACCCCCCCCCAACATGCCCTGCTCAGGCTGTTGAGAGCTTTGTTTACATTATCATTTCAGTTTGCAAAATAAATGCTGAGCAAATACGTTTTCTAACCAAAATAACTCTGAGGAGGGAGTTCTAGTTCTTTAAACCATGGCATGAACAGACAACAGCTGCATAAACCCTTCAGTGATCAGCAAGGATTTGACTGATGGCCACTCTTTCCAATATATTCTCCCCTGGATTTTTAGTGGTAGGTGTTATAGAGCCCCAAATATTGCTTTGTTTCTGTGGTAACTAAAGTAGAGTGTAATTTATACTGAGGTAAGATCAATATAGTATGCAAAGTTTGGAAGAATTCAATGAGTTTTTGAGCACCTAGCTTTTTTACTAGATTCCAATTCCAATTCCTACTAGAATCATGCCTTTTTATTCCTCCTCACCAACTGATGTGTATAAAGTTTTATACTGAATATTTTAAAATATATAGTCTACTAATTTTAAAAAATGAACAGAAGAACATCTAAGGATATTAAGGACACATTAAGGATATTACTAAGGACACAGACCGGTACCTACACAAAAACTCCAACCACCA